ATCACCCCCCAGGGGGGATGGCCACATCTCAATCCCTTCTCCTCCATTCTCCTCTTGGGATCTTGGGCACGCATACACATGCGCCCGGCGTGAGTTTAAGCCACCGGGTCTGGGACTCGAAGTGCGGTTGGAGTCCAGCAACATAGCCATTATGCTAACTGCTGGTCCCAGTGCTGTTATAATCAAAAGAGACACAGACCCTGGTATGCCATGTGTTCCTGGGCCTAAGGAGAGGGAGTGAAAACTTGAAGTCCCAGCCTGATGCTCATCCTTGACAAAGACGCCATGGTGACTGTGGTGGCTGTAACAGGGCAAATCATTCCCTATAATTTACACAAATTCTGGCTCACTTTAGTACAGTGAAAAGGAAGACAATAAAAAGATTTCTGGTACAGTCTTCATGATTATATTTTACAATAGACTGCTTCAACCCATTTTAATTCTTTTATACAGTGTTTTGTGAATTTAGTGCATTCCAGTAACTTTTTTCTTTTTCTTTTTTTTTTTTTTTAAATTAACTATAGGGAGAGAGGTTTTTGCTATAGGGTGCGTGCACTCGGCAGAAAGACAGAGACAGACAGAAAGCAAGAAATCCCCCCCGAGAGGAGAATGGCCATGCTGCAATCCCTTCTCCTCCATTCTCCTCTCGGGATCTTGGGCATGCACGCACATGCGCCCAGTGTGAGTTTAAGCCACCGGGCCCGGGACTTGAACTGCAGTCTTTTTTCTTTATTGCCAGAGGTCATATGAGTTGGCAAGAGAGAGAGGAAGAAAGTACCCCTCAAGCAGGCTTGCACATGCCACAATCCCTTTTCCTCCACCACCCCCCACCATCAGGATTCTGGGCGCACATGCACATGTGTCTGGCATGGTTCCCAAGCCACTGCGGTTGGGATTTGAACTTCCATCAGTCAGATGGGATCTGGCTTCCAAAGCACATTGTCTCATCACTGTGCCAACCCTTAAAACTTTCTTTGCACCTAAATAAACTCGTGTTTCAATTCCGATTTTCCGCAGTCTTGTTGAAGTCCTTGGTGTGGGGCTCTGTGCCCTGTGTCGACCTCCAATTTGGATCACGTACTATTTATTACGGATACAGCTTCAAGCTAAGTCTTTCCTTTTTCCTTTTCAGTTTAATAATCCAATAGTATTTGTAACTGCGGTTTAATCCTCCTTGGCAATGAAGAAATCAAGGTTTATTAACATTAAGCAGCTTCCCTAAGGCCCCACGCAGCTTGGGGACAGGTCTGATTTGAATCCATCTCTAATTTCTCCATCTGTCACCACTGCCAGCTCCATGACAGATGACTAATGAAAATATTATTTTTTTAAAGAGGTTTTTGCCTTAGGATGTGTACGCTCGAAGGAGAGAGAGAGACAGAGACAGTGAGTGGGAAAGTGAGAGATCACCCCCCGGGGGGATGGCCACACTGCAATCCCTTCTCCTCCATTCTTCTCCTGGGATCTTAGGCATGCATACACAGATTCTCTTCTCGGGATCTTGGGCACACATACACAGACACCAGGCATGATTTTCAAGCTGCCTTTCCCTGCCTAGGCCCCCCGATTAATGTTTTATTAATTTCTTTCTTTTTTTAAAAAAATAATGATTTATTTTATTTATCCATTCATTTAATTTTTAATTTGACCAGAGAGACACAGAGGGTGAGAGTGAAAGAGAGAGGAAGTGAGAAAGCAAGCCGCCAGATTCAGGACTTGAACCCTGGTCGGCCATGTAGGAGTGTCCAGCGCTTTAACCACCACGCCACCTGCTGGTCCCAATGTTTTATTAATTTCTAACCATTAGTACATAGAAATTTTTAATTACTTATTATTATTATTTTTAAATTTGCTATAGGGCACATATGCTCACCAGAAAATTTAACCAGAGAGAGAGAGAGAGAGCAAGCAAGCTGTCAGGGCTAGGGCTCGACCAGCAGTCAGCCATGTGGGAGTCCAGAGCCTTAACCACCACTCTACCTGCTGGCCCTAGCAAAAGGAGATTTAACGTTCACTTGATAAAGGTATGCAGCGTGAACTTTACCTTTTTCCTAGCACAACTGCTCCTGGGTCCTGAGATTTTGCCTCCAGTTCTTGAACTTCGTCCACTAATGTTTTAAACGCGGTCCTCTTGATACTGGGGGGACAAGAGATTTGCATGACATATTCATGTGAAGAATTTACAAGCCCAGATGTCCGGTAGACTGTCATCCTGCCGGTAAGTACAACAGTAACCAGAATAGAAGCTTCAACAGACTCCGAAAAATCACTGTAAGTTTGAACACTCATATCATTACAGGAATCACCTTAAATGACTTAGGCTGACACTATGAAGACTCTTGTCGTTGTCAAATGAGCATCCTATAGTTCATTTTACTAATACCTTCGGGTGGGAAAAGATCGTCTTTTCAAATTTAGACTTCTAGAGAAAACTCAGTAAAGTTTCTGTTTCTTCCATTCTCTATTTCGTGTGTGTTAGAATCAGGCAGAGCCACTGTTCTTTTCACACCATTAAAAAGAATGTCCTTGGAGACAGAACGATCTTTTTCTTTTCTTTTTTGAGAGTTTTTTTTCTATAGCGTGCGTGCGCTCGCCAGACAGGCAGAGAGACAAATAGAGACAGAAAGCGAGAAATCACCCCCCAGGGGGGATGGTCACGCCACAATCCCTTCTCCTCCATTCTCCTCTCGGGATCTTGGGCACGCACGCACACGTGCCCGGCGTGAGTTCTAAGCCACCGGGTCCGGGACGCGAACCATGGTCGACTACGTGGGAGTCCAGCGACATAGCCATTACGCTAACTGCTGGTTCCCTAGAATGATCTTTTTCTTCTACCACGAATGGATTTTCAGGCACACATACTCTCATGTCATTTTCTCAAATGCAATGAACTGATAATTCACTGGAACGACCTGGTTTACTTCTCATTTTTCTTTTTTTTTTTTTAACTACCTTTAGTTTTCTAGTTCCTGAATCACTCCTTTCTTCTGTAGTTATGGGAACACCAAGCAATACAACCAGCTCCTCCTCAGCACACTCTACACGCCTGAGTTCATTCTAGCTAGGGCCCACTGGAGGAGCGCTACGCGGTCGACGTTCGTGTTCATACCTGCATCAAATACTTACACCTTATACGCCACGTCGAGAAGCAAAGATGCCACCGGGATGAACAACAGGCCCATCCAGAAGACCCCCGAACTAAACAGCATGGCCGCCTGTGGGAGTCATCACATCACACTTTAAAAACGGTCATCCAGATAAATCGTGCCTATCGTATAATCAAATTAAAGTATGTATAAAACCCATTCGTGTCTAGTTTTTCTATAGTTCCGGTCACACAGCAAGTTTTCAGAAGATCTTAAGAGGATGTACGATCACTCTGAAATCATATTTGAGGTTCAAAGGCAAAGGGGTTACTGTTTGGAACATTGACAGAGAAATGGGTGAAAACATAGACTTAACTACATTTGTTTTCCCCCTCCAGCAGTAAGAGAGCGAAGTTTTATCACTGAACAAATCTTTTCATAGTTTTCTATATTGTTTTTTTATTATTGTGGTCAACACAGAAAGGTATGAGCTTTGATCACCTTTTACAAGCGAAATATCAAAATTAAATTTTTTAGTAAACTTTAAAATATACTCTGTATTAAATTTTCTGAAAAGAATATAACAGGTAAAATAAATCTGTTAGAAACTAGTTACCAATAAAAATGAATTTTACTTTTGCCAGGTTATAGGATATTAAAAATGGTCATCGAGATAAATCATGCCTATTGTATAATCAAATTAAAATATTTATAAAACAACAATTTGAGTAATTTTGGCTAATTTTAGGCCAGAATCCTGTAATATTAATTTTTATTCAGTAATTTATATTACTTGTATAAGTGCATATCTATTATTGCTAAGGTACAACAAAACATGAAGTATGCAAAAACCCAAATAAAAGTGTATTAAAAATAACTCTAATAATTCCTTTGTATTGAAGCTTAAATTGTTATATCAGAATCTTTTGGTTGGACAAGAAAATGAGCCTGTGGTTAAAAAAGTAATAAATTCTATTTGCAACTGTAATAAATTAAACATGACCTTTGGAATATATGTAGATTATACAGAGCTTAAATAAAATAGTGTTATACAATAAAATCCAAAAGAGAAAAATTTGGTTTCACTTTGAGTCTACTTGTTTATAAGAGTAAATGTGCAATACCACGTATTTCCGTATTTAGTTCCATAAATGCATTGCTATAATTGCATTAAAAACTAGTCCATCCCTGCCTGTATAATTGCATTCTTCTAAAAATCACATAGGTCATTTTTTTTTTTTAAACCGGTTGTGGTTCAGAAAAGAAAAGTGATCTAGAATTTCATTCTTCTAGCCAGTTACACAATTATATATAAGTAGCACGTATCGATCAATTCTTATCAAATAGAAAGATTCCTGATTTTACTTATGTTTCCAATACCCGTTTATTCTCAGCCAAGGACCAGAAGCTGCTGTTTAAACTTTCTCTTCTGTTAACGGGGGATTATGGATACAGACCTTCGGTTTAAGGGGGTTAAATATGTCCTTGCACCGAACGGAACTCTGTACACATTTAAAATAAATCATGCTCTTGCAAAAAGTTTAGAAGATACAATTTTGCCACGTGGGTTCAATCGTATTGAGAGTCGACACCAACAAGATGGAAAAATATTCACATAAAAGTCACTTCACTTAATGAGCAAAACATGATCTTCGACACGTTTGCTGACACCTTCAATGGCGAAAACCAACAGCAACTACGTAATAGGAAATGTCTATCAGGCGAGTCGGTTTTGTTTAGATTGAAGGAAGCTTCTAGTAAGGTAAAGCAACTAGTAAAAGAAAAAAAGAAAATAACTCATTTCTTTTTTCATCTGGGTGGAAAAGGTAAGATACGATGCGAAGTCAGAGAACAGGAAAACCATGTTTACTTGGCTTAATTTCAACACATTTTCATTTGGGGGCGCAGGAGAAGAAAGAGTCCTTCTCGCCTTTGCCACCTTGTATGGAATGTGGACCAGCAGAAAAGGCAGAAGTGCTGGGGATTGGAGGCTGCTAATTCTGACCATTGTGATGCTAACGATGATGGGGGTGCAAGGGGGCGCCCACTATTCAGTCCACCAGCCTTTGGCTTCACAAATGAACAACGAGAATTGAGGGGAAAAAAGTGTTTCTGCGTCATATCTGAAAGCCTGTCAGATTTGTGTTTTTTTTTTTTTTTTTCCTTTTGCGGAGTTAATCCAAACCTAAAAGATTTAAAGCCGGACATTCGCATTAAAGACAGAGAGCCCCTTTGTATTTTGGGGGATGAAGAGGAGGGGAAACAAAATAAAATCCCACAGAGGTATTTCCTTCCTTTCTGTAGGAGAAAGCTCCCCCTCTGTGTGGAACCCAGTTTTGTCTCTAACTTTTCACATCTCCCCATTCGCAGGCAGGTCAGCTGGGAAAAGGCGCTCGATCCTGCAGACAATGGTGTGGTGACAGGAGCAGCCAGGGCAGGGGCTGGCCGGGCTCCCTCCCAGGGCAGCTCAGGGAGATGGGTGGGCCATGCCAAGTGCCCCTCTCCGCCTCCTTCAGGCTGTGAAAAACTCAATGGAATCGGCCACAAAAGTGGCTCTTGGGGACTTGTGAGGAGTCCTGCAAACGGGGCTGCAGATCTGGTAAACCAGAGGGCCCTGGCCTGCCAGGGAACAAGCAGCTAGCTGCTTGTCTCTGCAGGGCGGTGCTGGCTCCGCACTGGACCGCTGAGCTGCTAAAGGAAACTGTCCTGGCCTGAAATGCAACTTGCAGGAGAGGGATTGCTCTCAACTGTCCGCGTGAACTTGCAGAACAACCTAAGAAAAGAATGAGGTTATGTCTATGTGGCCAAGTGGAGGCGCGTGAGCTCCCAGGAGGGGCTGGGTGCTCTTCTCCCAGGCAGGGTGATCACTTGCATGTCCACTCTCACAACAGAGAACACCTCTTCCCCTTGGCGTGCCCGTGACAGTCTTTTTTTTTTTTTTTTGGAGAGGTTTTTGCTATAGGGTGCATGTGCTCACTAGAAAGACAGAGAGAGACAGAGAGACAGAAAGCCAGAAGTCACCCCCCAGGGGGGATGGCCATGCCGCAATCCCTTCTCCTCCATTCTCCTCTCGGGATCTTGGGCACGCACGCACACGCACCCGGCGTGAGTTGAAGCTACCAAGACCGGGACTCGAACCGCAGTCGACTACATGGGAGTCCAGCGACATAGCCATTACGCTAACTGCTGGTCCCAGCCCATGACAGTCTTGTGGGAGAGAGAATCCAAACCTGCCACCTGCCTAAAAGCTTCTAGCCTTGCAGTCCTCTGTCCACCTCTGTTTGACACCCTAAGTGTCAGGAAGGTGTGCTGTCACTCTTACTCTTGGATCATGCGTTCATGTCTTTGACAGAAAGCAGACCCCTGGAGCCCTAAGAGTATGTCCATGGACCCCACCTGGGGCAGGACTGGTGGTGAACAGCACAGGAAGTGGGTCATGGCTGTGCCCTTCCCAGCTATCAGCTTCCAGGGAAGTAATTTCTCAATCTGCCTTTTCTCAGCTGTAAATTGGACTGTAAGACTAGAATTTGATAATGTTTATAAAGTGTATACTTTTTTATTTTTGGAGAGGTTTTTGCTATAGGGCACGCGAGCTTGCCAGAAAGACAGAGAGACAGAGACAGAAAGCGAGAAATCACCCCCCCCCCAGGGGGGATGGCCACGTGGCAATCCCTTCTCCTCCATTTTCCTCTTGGGATCTTGGGCATACATGCACACATGCCTGGTGTGAGTTTAAGCCACCAGGTCTGGGACTTGAACCGTGGTCGACTACATGGGAGTCCAACAACGTAACCATTATGCCAACTGCTGGTCCCAGATGCTTTTTTATTTTTAAAAATTCTGCCAGAGAGCATGTGTGCTCACTGGAGAGAGACAGAGAAAATGAGAAAGCAGCCCACGTGAAGAATGGCCATGCCACAATCCCTTCTCCTCCATTTCTCCCTCCTGTCAGGGTTTTAGGGACACATGCACACACACCCAGTATGTTTCTCAAGCTACCAGGCCCGGGACTCGAACCGCAGAGCTGCCCATGTGGGATCCAGCTGTCTTAACCACCATTCTGGCTGGCTTGGCTGCTTTTATTATTAATGCCGATTATGAATGTGCTTTCCTTCCATGCTTTGATTTTCAAACTTCCTTAAACCCTTCAGTCTCTGGTTCTTTCCAGTCATCTGTCCCAGGAGCTTCAAGGGAGATGATTTTTACCATGATCTCAAATTAAGTGGAAGTCCGTTAGGAAATGTCATGGTTTTTAATCATCGTTCTTACACATGGCCAGAAGTAACTTTATAGAATATTTTCACATCGCAAAGTTTGAAGTCACACGAGGTCAGGGGTAGAAATTTCCCCTTGTTGGTGCTGACCGTGTTTTAGATGTTGAAACATTTTGAATTTTGGATTTTCACATTCGGGCTGCTCGATTTATATATGCTTGACTCATCTAATATATTTTTTTTTTTTGGAGAGATTTTCACTTTAGGGCGCGTGCGCTTGCCAGACAGACAGAGAGAGGCATAGAGACAGAAAGCGAGAAATCACCCCCCAGCGGGGATGGTCACGCCGCAATCCCTTCTCCTCCATTCTTCTCTCAGGATCTTGGGCACACACGCACATGCGCCCGGCGTGAGTTTTAAGCCACCGGGTCCAGGACTCTAACCGTGGTCGACTACGTGGGAGTCCAGCGACATAGCCATTACGCTAACTGCTGGTTCCCTCATCTAATATTTTGAAATGCAATCAATACTGAAACATAGGCCCAAGTAACTTGACATGAACAAAGGACATTCATCACAATTTGCTAACTTAGGAAACAGAGATATGTTATTTTTTTTCCCCAGAAAAATGATGACTCACAGACAAAATATATTAATTTGAAAAGGGAAATCTGTTCAGAAGATAGTGCTGCAAACTTCTGTAGCTATTGATTGATTTGGAAGGGAGTGCAGTAAGAGAAACTAACATGAACTCCAGCGAAGTTAAACGTTAACATTAGCAGGGCCAAGAGGTGGTGTGGTGGTTAGGGCGTTGGACTCCCACATGGCCGACTGCAGTTTGAGTCCTGCGCCTGGCAGCTGGCTTTCTCACTTGCCTTCTCTTTCTCACTGTCTCTCTCTGGTGAGCACACATGC